CCTATAGTAACAGAATCAGTACTTGACGAAGTGAACTCTTTGTCATTATAATAAATTCTTCAATCCTTTAATTATATGTTGAATCAATTGTTTTTAAAATATTAATATAATTAATCTAAATCTTTATAGTTTACAAAGCTTATTTTAATCAATAAAGTTTTAATTGAATTCTTGAATTTCGAAAGTTAATTCTAATTTTTAGTTTAAGATAATCACTTTCAAATAAAAAGATCTATTTGTATTAAAATCAAATTGTTTATTTAATATATTCATATTATATAGTATAATAATAAAGCTTCTGATTGAAGAATAAATTGAAAATGAAGTATAATAGTAAAGCTTCTAATTAAAGAATAAATTGAAGATGAAGTATTACAATTGATAAATAAATTCTTCTTTAGACTTTTAACTAATATCTTTTATTTATTCTAATCCTTACATTTACTTTCCTCCTCTTTTTCTTCAACTTTTATTCACCTCTATAGCCTTCTTCTAATTTTTGTATACATATTCTTCCATCTATTTTTCTTACAATTCTAATATTTAAAGATCTTGAAATCTTAAAGGCCTTTAAAAGCCATTATTTTCTTTTTTTTTTTAAAAATTTAATAATAAATAGGTTGTATTTTATATTAATAATATTCATTATTAATAAAATCAATATTTCGTTAATAATAAAAAAGAGATTAATATCGTTATATATATAATAGAAATTTGTATGAGGATTTATACTGAATTTCTTCTTGTTTATGATATTAACTTTGCTATTACAGGGCCTCCTCTTTAATCTCCTCTTCCGTCCATCCCTTTCCTCGAAAAAAGTCTGACCATTGCTTAAGGACGTCATTGGTGGCAGTGGGGAGGAGCGTCCCAATAGTTTTGCATTTTCCTTCCATCTGAATGCTCACGTATGCTAAACGTGTTAGTAGGTGAAATACGTATGATAGATTGTGGCATTGAGCTGCCGAAGACCTTCTTATAGTCTAGAGCACTAGGGATCCCTTTGCCAATGGAAGAAGTCCGCCTTTCAATGCCACGAGGCTCTCTGAAAATGGTGACCTTCTATGAATATATGAGTTCCCTTGGGTGTTCTTTGCCGATGCAGTTGCTGCCTCAATGTGATGAGGTTGCTTGGCTCTTGAATCATGTGGCTATTCAACGAATTCAATTAGGAAGTTTGGACAGGCGATGTGACTTTGAGTGGCTTCAAAGCATCTTGATTTAACATGCATCATTCAACAGCATTCAATTGATTATGTCCTATAAGATCTTCCATTCCTCCTCTTCTTTCGTCAGGCGATCTTGATTCCGCTCGCCGGGAACCTCGAAATTTCTCAAATACTCGTCCTCTAGCTTAATCGTTTCAAGCCAACGACGACATCGGGCCTCTAGGCACTCCCGACGTTTCCTAACACGCCGAATTTTGCCTCCACACAATATGTAGACTCTGATATATGAAGGCTAAATAGAGGATAGTTTGCTCTCTAGAATTGTGAGTCTAAGACTTCTATTTAAGCTACAAAAACTTGGTCCTAGACATTCCACCCAGTGCCCTGAAATAGTGCTTAAAATCTACTCATAATGCTAAACTTCCTACGGTTTTCAACCGGCAACAATTTATGGGCAAGGTCGCCCCTTCTGAGTGCTAATAGTGCAACAATCGGCATCCTAGATGGATATACATTAGTTAGAACAATATCAGAAGCGCATCGGTTGGTAACTAACACATAGATAATGGCTGACACCATTGTTCTTGCAGAAATCGGCTTTGTAACTATCGCGATGGCAAGGATTTGCCCAGGGCCAACCAGAATGCTGCCCGTTACAACCAGATTCGCCGCCATCACTTCCGCCCCAACAGCAATCTTCGCTTCTTGTACACTGTGAGATTGGCTCAATTAGTTGATATAAGTAAAATGGTGGGCTAGGTTTAAAGGCTCCACCAAATATAGAAGGAGGTAGGGCACGTACTGCTCTTACAGACTGCCCAAATGCTAGTAGGCATACGAAAGCTGCGATAATAGATGAGTGCATTTTAAAACAGTGATTGGATGCGTTTTGAGTATGTGTTCTGAAGGAGATATTGAATAGATGGTATTCATTTGGTTGTGCGGCTGTAGCATAGGTTATATACTCACGTTCAATTCTATCTTTGTAGTGCTGCTAGGAGTCGCGTGAAAATCTGTCTAAGCCCTAGTGCTTTGGATATGATCTATTGTAATTAAAAAATCTATTATCATGCGAAGTTAGATGCCAATTTTGTAAAGGTGCATAAACATGTCATATGCTTCGTATTTAAGGTTTACACCCGATTTCATAACTAGCTTCCAAAACGTGATTTCATGGTCTCACGACCTTTCAGTTGAAATCAATTAATTATAAAATCCTAACTTTATTAATATAGCTTTAAAATCAAAAAGTTCTGTATTGAATAAAAGCTATTATTTCATTAAATCGATCGTCCAAATTTGAATTCATTTAAAGTAATATAGATGAAATAATAACGATTTTAAAATAATGTAATATTTTGAAGGTTTTTATAACTAGCTTTCGAAAGAAAGCTTTTAGTTTTTAGATTTTCACTCTCAAATTTCCATTTTAATCAATATAATTCTAGATTAATTGAAAATTGAGTATATGATAGATTTAATCATTATTTATCATAAAATATCATTTTTATTGAAATCGATGTCAAATTAGTAAAGTTGTCATAGAATGAATAATAGAAATATAACATTTAGATGTTTTTAATGAGGCATAGAAAAGTCACATTTTGAAAGCTAGTTATGAAATTGAGTATAATCTTATTAATAGATCGTAATAGCTAAATTATACGAGTCGTGTAGGTTATTGACTGAGGTGGCCTGGTCTAAGTTGACTTTTTATTATAAGATAAGACCTAATCACCGTCTCTATAAAAGCGTAACGTATTTGATAAAATAAGTACAAGTTCATTTCTTTAGCTTTATTTTCAATTCAAATTAATTTAACAAACTTTGAATATTAATATATATATAAATCCCTTTTCAAAATACAAACTTAAAATAATAAGAACAGAAACTTTAATTACTTTTATAAAAAGTCTTAAGACCTATATAAAAGTATAATATATTTAATAAAGTAAGTACGAGTTTATTTCTTTAGTTTTATTCTCAATCTAAGTTAATTTAATATACTTTAAATATTGATACATGTATAAACCTCTTTTCAGAGTACGAATTTAAGGCAACAGGGATAGAAACTTCAACCACTTTTATAATGTTGGAACACGTGACTAGGGCGTGACATTATATGTCACGTTTTACCCCACATACGCATCCCGTGCGTAAGTGGGGTTAGTACACGATATCAATTCCCTCTTCGTACAAAGAGGGTAGATAGAAAATATAACCCTTTTACTCATATACATTGTGTATACACCTTATCAAGTCTGCCCAACATATAGAAAGCCTCAAGACCTCTACAAAAGTGTAATATATTTGATAAAGTGAATACGAGTTCATTTCTTCAGCTTTATTCCCAATCTCAAATAATTTAATACACTTTGAATATTAATGCATATGCAAACACTTTTCCAAATTGCGAATTTAAAGCAATAGAGATGGAAATTTCAATTGTTTTTATAAAAAGCCTCAAGACCTTCACAAAATCTAAGAAATATCAACGACATTTCTCTCACACATTATCTCATTAGACCATCTATTGTCAAAGTTATCATCGCTTGATCTATTGTAAATATCAACTGTCCTCAGTACCGATATACATTATGCATTTCTCAAAACTTCTTGTTATCGTCTCCGCGACAACAGCTACAGCAGCTGTCCTACCCAAGGACACCAACAGCGGCGACAGCACAGAGACTGACTTGAATGTGGTTTCAATGGTTTGGGACGGGGTTCATGTAAGTGTGAACAAAACGCTATAACAAACAAAACTAAATCTAAATATTCAAGGAACCTACCGTGGCAAACATTACAAGCGTGGAAGTCATGATGAGATCTGCTCAAGAAACTGCGACCTCGCTCGAGCCACGTCAACAAGGTGTAGCCAACGGTATCAAGGTCACGGTCAATGCTATTGCCCACGCAGTGGCATGGGCATACGCTGCTATCACCTGGGATTCGGTCAGTGCACTAATTAATAGTATTATGATAATTACTGAACTCAATGCAGAAGCGTCAGCGCTTCACACAGGATGCCACGAACGAGATGTGGAAAAACAACCCAGACGTTAGAACCTGGGCTGCAGCTATCTGTTACAACAAAGGCTACCGAGTAAGAGACTATAATCGAATCTCTACCCCCCAAAAGCAGAAGCTGAAGAGTGGATTTCTACATACCGAGTAAGCCAAGCTTATCAAATATGATATTCCTCCGTACTAAACTACAAATAGCTACGATTGTATGTTTATGATGGGAAATAATGCTTTCTGGACCGATGGCGATGGAGGATACGAGAATGTAAGTTTGAATCTAGTGCTAGATAGGCTAAATCATATGACTGATGAATATCTAGCTCGCTTATGCCTATGATGGCAGCCGTTGTTCTTATGATGGTAATACAGGCGATCTTACTTGTTAAGGAAGTTGCCATTATAACCACGAGACAAGCTACATGGTGGAAGCTACTTCTGGGAACTAAGTTGATAGAAGGAGAGACGAAACGAGGGGAGGCTCCAACACATTGTATTGATATATCTCATCACGTCTTCGAAAGGAGATACAAGCTGCAATGTCCTTGTCAGAAATAATTGATGTATTATACATTAAGTCGCGCATTCATTGGATATCTTAATGCTCGTATTATCAGTTCTTCAATTTGTCTTTGAATCGCTACATCAGAATGTTTTGGATAAAAGTGAGACTTGTTTTACTGTTTTTCGAAATTCGGCCGTATATCATTGATATCGTTTTCGAAAGGTAAATAGAATTAGTCACTCGAAAAGTAATATATCAAATCATTAGCAAGACAGAATCCTAAGAGGACTATAATAATATCATCAAACAATACATTCAGTATACAATCCATTAGATCCTACTTGAAAACATATCGGGATTTGTAGTTCCATCCTTGTCGCCTTAAAAATGCGATGTCGATTTCTATGCTCGAGATCTGCCAGCGATTCCAAATAGGTGCCATCTTGATGACCTGCCTCCCAAACCATGTTACAACACGCCTCGGGCCGCCATATATCCACCTCGTGAACGAGGAACTTATGTCATTCCACATTAGCTTTGCACAGCATTCTATATGTCGACGAACCTTTAAGAGTTGCTCCCATCCACCTAGGATTTCACCCAAAACTGATAATAGACCCACGCCATCGTTGCGACGAAAAGCCTTTTTCTCTCTCTTTGTCCAAATTTTGGACGTCTGGCGGTCGAGTAAGGGTTGTCCAACTATAATCGCACAAGAGAGTAGAGTGATCTCCACGAAATCCAGACGTGACAGAATCTCGGATGTAATGATTTTGGTGCCGCCTCTACCGGACAACATCTTCTCGAGTTCCTGAGTAGCTTCGTCGAGTATCCTGTGGTTGGCATGGAGTTCACACCTCCACCCCTGGTCTGCAGAGGGGTGTGGTTCCAAACTGGTCTTAATAACTCGGTTCTCTTCATCAAGGCACTATTGTTTATGGAGCTGTTGTATCCCTACGTTACTAACAGCTCACCCTACCCCTTATGCGAGGGCCCTTTCATGGCATAAAAGGAGGGCACGGCCGTTATTTGTCTGGGAACATAACCCCAAGACCCCACACGACCCCCACATGATTTTATAAAAGGGATTTCACAAAAGGGGATTTCTTGGGTTCCTCATCCCCGCCTCCCATCCCGATCTTGCAACCGTAGAACGTCTCGTTGCCATTCCGCATGGCCTGCGACCTCGCATACAACTCTGACCACCAGGTTCTGATCTGCACACAGTGCCAGACGTGCATCGCTCCAGGGGCCCGAAGTATCGCGCAACACCTCCGAGCCGAACCCCACCGCCTGTCAGGTGATCTTTTGAAAGCTCAACTGAGCTACGCTCAATCGTTAAGTCTGAAGACGAAGCGTCAATTGCGAGAAGACAAACCTGCGCGTAGGGCTGCGCAGTTAGAGCATCTCAGAGTCTTCCACGGCTTTCAGTGTTTATCATGCGATCCATCCTTTTTAACCACTCACCTCCCACGAATGCGGGATCACATGGTGACTCATGGCCGGAAAGCGAGCGAGCACAAAGCGACCCCGCTATGGCAGGCATGCTTACTCCAAACGTACTTTACTGCACCGAGGTATGTTGATTACTTTGTGGTTGTTGCAAATCCTGGGCCCCATGGTGGAAATGGCGATGTGATCCCTTTAACCCGGTCGGAGAAGGATTCCATTGATCAGATTGAGCAAGATGCGTTGAATGTCAAAAAGGATCTCTTCAAGGCAGCTGGCGTCGTTCGGGACATTAAGGAATCTCGCTCCGAGAGGGTACCGTGGTTGCACGACGTCACCAAGTTCCCTTTTCACTTAGTTCATTTAAAAGACGAGGAGATTTGGGCTTCGTATAAGCTCCCATCGAAGAAGGAATTGGATGGAGATTACCTTGAAGCGGATGATCCTCAACTTGTTCGCATCCTCCATGCCGCCGAAGCTATGATGCGAGATGCCTATCAATTGTGCTCTGATACATCCCCCGATCGTAAGATGACTCAGCAGCGAGCTAACATCCTCAATGAATTTTATTCCGGAGCGAGTGGCAAGGCGGATGGGTTCCGATATCACAAGAATGCTTCGACGTTGGTCAAATACTTCCTGATCGGGAAACAACTCTTGGTATATTATTATCGAGTGGTGTATTCGGAGGATGGCTTTTTCACCGCCACGGAATCGGATCAATCATTACCACGTGATATTATCGAACCGACCTCAACCCAAATTCGTGCGATGGATGCTATCATGGAAGCCTTGAATATGGAAGATCCCGAAGAATCTGAATTAGCTTTGAAGCATGCTATTCGACGATTATATCTAGCCTTGATTTGTCACTCGATTGGAAGTGCACCGTTTAAATCACCGGTCTTGAGTTTTTGTGCTATGAAGAGTCGCATGATTTATGGGCGGGGATTGTGGGAAGAGCCAGGAAATTTTAATAGTTACCTGTCGGCTCTCACGTGGACGGCGCAACTGATCCTCTTTGGTTTTGTCTGTTTTCAAGAGCAAGAGGACGAAGATCAAATTCCCATTCTCCTCACCACGCTCTGCAAGAAGTTCTTTCAACAATTAGCCGAGACCCCCTTCGGTTACATTCTTCAGTGGCGTTTATATTTATTCAAGGTGAGTAAGGCTTCCATTGCTAAACACCAAGCTCGATGGTCTTTGGATCGACAGATTGTGGGGTATCGCGGGGTAGAAATATCCATGGAACAGATTTCGAACGTGGTGCTTTCGGAATTTCAACAAGCTCACTCTCTCCTGTACGATGAATTGTTATTTGGCATGCAAGATTTAATTTCGATGGTTTCGTGGCGGATGAAGGATGATCTGGATTCCGAGGATTTTGGGGATTCTTGGCTCTCCCACTCACACAATTCGGAATTTTTAGAAGGGGCAGATCTGAGGCTTTTTCGATACATCAAGACGAACACTAAATTGCACACCACTTTCTTCAAGGTTGATCAAGAGGGAGGGTTAATCTTGTGTTCGAAAGCTATGAAGATATATGAAGTGCAAGCTCAGGAATTCTTAAAGCGACTCTTGATCCTCTGTCACATTGCTCCTGGTCCACCTCTGCGAGAGCCCGAATTGCTTTCTATCACGTGGCGGAATATGGAACGACAGCGACATATTTATATTTGGGAAAAGTTGGTGATGATCTATACCCAATATCACAAAGGACAACAACAATCTGGTGCATACAAGAATAATATTCGATTTCTCCCGAAAGCTATTGGGAATTTATTACTTACTTATATTGCATATGTTATTCCCCTTCGACAAATCTTTCTTCGACAAGAAAATCCGACCGCTTTGATATCCCCGTACCTCTGGTCCAATCTTCAAGGGACTGTGTGGGTAGATGGAGTTATTTCGACTTGCTTACGGAAAGCATGTAAACGTGCTCAGGTTTCGATACTACACACTTCCAATTGGCGACAATTTGCTGCTTCCATCACGAAAGAGAAGTTTACTACGAGAGAACAAGCCAACTTTGATCTGGACCATACTCCTGGTGAATTTGTTGAAGATGAATCCGATTTGAGGGCGTTGGCCGAATTTAGCAATCACAGCTTTCAAACCTTCAATGTAGCTTACGCTGGAACGACCAATCTCACCATGAATACTATGTTGCATCGAGGCTTTCGGGCTTCGGCTAGTTGGCATTCCTTCTTTCGATTCGATTTCGTTCTGCAAGGGAAGCGAGCCTCGAGTCCATCGGATGCTCTAGTGTTGCGAGCCGCGAAACGAAGTCGATTTCGTCAGAGGCAAGGGTACTCGGAAGAGGATTTACTTCAAGTGGCTCAAAGATTATTCCCTTCTGTCACTTTTCAATTTCGTCAACCTGGTCAACGTCGTGGGGTGTTGACTACTTTTGGAACTACCTTTCACGAACAAGTCATCTTGATCTTGGGAACCGGCTCCGGCAAGACCTTAATTCCTATGCTCAGCGCTAGCCTTGCGGACGCTAGCACCACCATCATGATCATTCCTATGGTGGCCTTGCGGATTGACATGATCAAACGTTTTAATGCAGTTGGGATTCCCTCGGTCGTGTGGTCGGTGGAGTGTCGGGAAACCCCTCCATTGGTGATCGTATCGGCTGAAGCGGTTTGCAACGATAGCTTTTTGGAATACGCTCAAGGGCTAGTCTTTCGACAGAAATTGGATCGCATCATCATGGATGAGTGTCACCTTACCATTACTACGAGTGAGTATCGCTCTTGCATGACGCAAGTTGGGTGGTTCATTCGACAAATTCGTACTCAATCCATTTGGCTATCTGCCACCTTGCCTCCGGTGATGGAAGAATTATTCATCGAACAGAACAAATTGGTTTGCCCTCAAATCATTCGAGAGTCGACCAATCGATCTAACCTTCAATATCTTGTTAGTTATGGAGATGGAGTTGATTCTTTGATGGAGAAAGCGAGAGAGTTAATTGAAGTGTGTTGGCCCGATCCTAATATCTTTGATCAAAGTTGTGATAAGATTATTATCTACTGTCGCACTCGTGATGTTGCTGGCGCGGTAGCAGAATTGATGAATTGTCCTCTGTACACATCAGAATCCGGGACGGTTCGCGAGAAGGGGGAGATCATTCAACGGTGGCTCTCCAATCCTCAGCAACCCGTGATCGCTGCTACGTCCGCTCTCGGGATTGGATTTGATTACCCTCACATTCGATGGGTCATTCACCTCGATGCTCCAGAGCGGGTGACGGCTTTCTCTCAAGAATCCGGTCGGGCGGGACGCGATGGGAGGAAAGCTTCCTCCATCATCTTGTTAAATTCGACTTGGAGACCTCAACGTGATACCTTTCTTCCACCCGATCAAGCTACCATGCAACTCTACCTCACTCAACAATATTGCTCACGTGGCGTCCTCAGTCAATTCCTCGATCGGCCTTCGGATTGGCGTTGGTGCATGTCAAGTGATGAGGTCTGTCAAGTGTGTAGGGAACCTCATGAGGAACCTCGCCCCCCTCATTTGATATACACTTTAAATCCATCTACTATAGAAATTGAATCCACTGGCCCTCGAGAGATTCACACTCAAGATTTTCGACAGGATCAAATCCTCGATCGATACGAGCAGGATCTCCTAACCTTTCAGGATTCTTGTCTCTACTGTCGAATTCACCATCGTCGCTTCGATCACCTCTCTTCACAATGCTCTCGAAGATTTGATTGGATTAATGCTAAGGGGGAAGCTCTACAAGCGTGCCAATTTGACGAGAGAGATTGGATGCCACGATACATCGTGTGTTGGAATTGTTATCAACCACAAGATATCTGTCGAGTGGCCGATCCTGATCACGAAGAGAGCGAGTGTCGATTTCCGAACATGGTGATTCCCATTTGCGTGGCGGCATATAAGAGGGTGGGGGGGGTGGCATGGCTCGAGAGGCATTTTGAACGAACGTGGGAAGATCTTCTTGCGTATATGATTTGGCTTGGGGAGAGGACTGATTTGGAGGGGAATGAATGGGTTTACGGGAATAAGGTTGCAGCTCTTATATTAAGGGAATTAGAATAGAGTAATGATAATAATAAGATAAGAATAAAATAATGAATAAAGGGTTCTAGTAATAAAGTAAGAGATCAGGGTTAAAGTTGGAAGAGATTTTTAAAATGATTAAGAACCGCTACGTATTTTAAAAAGGGTGAGGGTAAGGGTAAGGGTAAGGGTTAGGGTTAAGAGATAATAAGAAAGGAATTAGGGTTAATGAAATATTTAAAGAATGAAATAAGAGAATATATAAAAGTAAGATTTAAAATTAAAGAATAATATTAAAAAGATAATAAA